GGGCGCAGTGGTCCCACCCAGATTTTGTGTCATCCCTCCCTCCACGGGGTGGCGGCAACTGACGGATGCCCGTCCGGTCAGCATCGCGCTCCCGTGCAGCCGGATGGATGGTTCCATCGGGGGAAAAATTGACGCCGCACAATTCATAAGGGCCGGCGTATTTATGTATCGTCACATTCATCGTGGAGGCAACGGTGGCCCCTTCCTCTTTCCTTGCGCAGGTGGCAGCACAGTTGCTACATGTGTGCACCCCATTGGCCACATGGCACACAGCACCCAGCTCACCATCTCTGCCATGCATGCGCACATCAAAGCCACTGAAAGTATAATTCTCACACTGAGCCTCGGCACTGGCAGCGGAACAATTCTTCCACGTCCACTCACACACGCACGCGATAGCTCAGGCTGCCGTCACTCGGAGCACACGACACATCCACCGGCACAACCACCGCGTCCGCATCACCAGATACATGTCCAGGACTCCCAGCAGCCGTCACGCACACGGAGCGAGCACCCTCATCCATCCATGACGCGGCAACAAAATTCCAGCCATCCCGTCCTCAATGGGATGCGGAGCCCAACTCAACGCAGTCACACGCGGTGCTTCACACCCGCAGGAAAGGAGACGCGGGCTGCGCACTCCCCTTCCCTCCTTCCTTCTCCTCATGCCCACGTAGGAAGACAACAGCCGCCACACGCAACTGCCAGCATGCACTGCAAAAGGAGCATTCAAATCCACTGCAATGTGCATCTTGTGTGTGTGTGTGTGCCTGCAGAAACACGAGGCAAAGAAGTAGAAAAAAGGAAGCAGAGTACGTGGAGGGACGCAAAAAAATGTACAGCGGAGGTGCGTGGCGGAAACAACAAGAAGAAGACCGCTCAAACTCATGACTGCACCGCAGCCCAAGCAGTGGCGATTCACACAAGATTTATTTAAAACAAAAAGAAAACCATCCCCTTCGTCTTATGTAAACCCCATCACACAAAATAGTTATAAATGGAAAAGAAATCGTCCATTACTGTTCCACACAAATTTGAAAAAGCAGCCGGCTGCCGTGTGGCCACAACAAACTGTCTGCATGTGTTTTGCCCAAATTAAAATTAAAAGATATTTAAATATCGTTCAACCGTCCGACCCTCCATGTGCCCGCACATCGTTTATATTTCATGCGGCCATCTGCGTGTTGC